GTAACACTTCACAATTTTGTAAAGAACGCGTCTGTGTGTTATGTAGCTTTTTTGATACAAGAAGAAAAAGGGGGGTATCCGCACGACTGCTAAACACGAGCCAATCTATTCATTTAATTATTGTTTCTTTTTTTTTTTTCACGTCCTTACTCTTTATCACTGTAGTTTTTGTATCAGTGTGCACAGAGAATTGATAACATTTCCATTACTACATGAACTTTATAACATCCTAGAATTGAAACTAAAATAGACACAATATCAATCTTGCTTTTTGTTTAGCCAAAGAGGATGCTTAACACAAATCTAAAATAATTATTATTTATGAAAAAATATATATTTCTAACAAATCTAGAAATAAGTCAACGGTTTATTTAAAGAATTGTTTTCATAACGACTTGATAATGGTATTTTTGACTGGACCTTCCTTTTTTGGAAAAGTAAGGAAACAACGTTTTCCTGTTCCCCTAATTCATAATCATTGTTAAATGCCGGATCCCAAGCCTTTTTGAATACCGGTGTTTCTCGTAAGACGGCGTGATTTCATAATCGAATGAGAGTTCCATTTAGAATAACGGGTATGATTGCAGACGAAAATTGCATTACACGAAGTTTAATTGCTACATTAATTATCATGTTAATTTTGATATCAAACCTTTAATCCCCGATATATTGTAAATACTGGCCTTTGGTCGGTAGCAATATTTTATTGCTCTACATACAGTTTGTTAAAAAGGGTAAGTAGTTTTACATCTCATATGCAAACCAGAAAAAGATGCAATTTAGAGCAAAAAATAGTGCAACTCAAGAATAAATTGCGCTGGCTCTCAAACAATTTCATTGGCTACCTCAAGCAGGTCTTGAAATCTGATTGCTTGTTTAGTTTAAGTGTTTCATCCTCATTGCCTGGGAAAAAGATGTGATTCGTGAATAAATCTCACTGCTGAGAACCAATCAGATTGCAAGGATCACTGGTGATTTCAAAATGGATGCAACAAAGTTTAAAAATT